TGTACGTTTCGATTGATAAAGTGGTTGTGTAACGATCGTAATTTTAAAAATTGTCATTTTTTTTGCACACCACTGTAACTCTCTCTTTATGCATAACATCGGCGCTCCGTATGTAGCGTAACATTTCATGTTACTCGAATCGATTTTCAAAAGTAAACATTTATGTAACGCACTTTTCAGACAAAATATAAATAAATATACACACCACTAATATTTTGAAATTTCTTTAATTGACTTAAACTAGGTCTTTAAAAATTAGAAATGTCTGAAAAAAGGGTTAAACTTTTGTATGATTTTAGGAAACATATTGAGAATATCGTTTTTTCACCGAATATGGAATATATGGTGACTAGTAATGACGTATCTGTAGTTTTGTGGACAGTTGATTTATTAGATAATAAAATAGAGAAAGAAAATACATTTAAGGATCATCTGGAACCGGAAAGGTCGCTACTAAGATTATCAAATAAAAAATTATTGATTAGTGGTTTTAAGGATTCAACTGGTTACTCTGAGTTAACGGTCTTAGATATGGAAACGGCGGCGGAAACTCCGAAATGTACCACAATAAAGCCAAGTAACGGAAGATTTTTACAATTTCTACCAAATGGAAATCTTCTATTGATTAAAGCACCATATATATATGTTTTTACAGAAACTATATTGAATAATTCACCGTACACAAGATATACTTCAAAATATCATTTATGTATGGTCGATATTCGAAAGGGCTTAGAAGTTGTCGATATTCGAATGGACTTAAAAATGGATGATGGTCAAAGGAAAATAGAAATAGACGATACCCCGACAATAATCCAAATGGACCTAATAAATGATCAAATATTCTTTACCCTAAAAGGCTCAGTTATGATAATTCAATTAGATCCAAATAACTGGATTATTAAAAATAAATACATCATTCCAGAAAGCTATAAATGGATTGGGGCAGTAAATAACGATAAAAGTTTATTTGCAATATACTTGAAACATAAAGATGACGCTTCTTTATGTGTATATTCAATGACAAATGGCAACCTAATTTCTTCAAGTAAGTATTTAAATATTATTATTTGCATTGTTTTATTTTGCCAATGATTCAATGATTGACTAATCATTTCATAGGAAGAGATGAATTTCTAGCTCAATATACAAATATCCGATTTATAAAAAGCAAAGATGGTATTGAAGTTTTGATGTTAAATTCATTAGACACAAAGAAAGAAAAGATTAAGTATTTATTTACGGATCCCTATGAGCTCCCATACATGTGCGAATATAGATACAATGTTAAAAACTTTTCATCTCTCTATGAAACTTTCAAAATTAACGAAATACCAACCTCGCAAGATAATGAATTAATACTCAGAAAATTTAGAAAATTACTAGAATTTATCATTCCTCATAAAATTATTAATGAGCTATATAATAATAATTTTTTCGTTCTCGATAAGAATCATAGGGATGATAAAATGATTATAAAGCTTAAAGACGATAAGAATGATGATGAAATGATTATAAAGCTGTATGATATATCCAAGCTATTTATTCATTCAAGCTTCAAAGACATAATCAGGGAGGAAAGGAAAATTAATGCCAAAGGGAAAAAATTGAAATGGATTTTTTCTAAGCCTAAAACTTTATCAGTTTTAAAAGATGGCGGTAATCCAATAGATCAGAAGGTATTGGAATTCGAACTTTATGATCTTGAAATTTTTGGTAACGATGACGTAATATGCTATGGCGACGACGGAACCATTATTTTTGGCCTTAAATCCAATAAGATTGTTAAGAAATATTTTTATCATGATATAAAAAAGTTTCTTGAATGCAAAAGAATTCCATGCCCAAACCTAGATATTCCAGAAAAGGAGGATAAAAAAAATATGATCATGGAACTTCTTCATGCAAAAATGTATATCATAGAAAAGAGCGATGAAATTATTGATTTTGCTATTGAGAATAAAGAAAGTGAAATTCTAAGTGAATGCCTCGACATATTATATGTTTTAATTACCGATGATACTTTGATTCATTTGACTCATTTTGAAATCTATACAATTATCTCAAAATATCTTCAAAAGTTGAATTCAGACCTTCCCCATTATTACTCAAACTTCCTTTCCAAAACCTCGATTATTCCAAATCCGTACATCGATAAATCTTATTTCTCCAAAGAAAAGAAATTGTTTGGTTATACTGACCAAGCGAATTTGGTTCAAATATATAAATGTGATGTTATTCAAAAGTGTCGGGATTTTCGGGATTTCATTGTTATCCGGGCTTATTTTAAATTGAGTTTTGTTATTCAAAATTTTAATATATATTTTTTCCGCAAGTTTAATATTAAAGGATATCAAAAAAAAAGTGTTATTAGTTTTGTAATTCCATACCCGGAATTTACAAAGTATTCTCCTAAATATAATTTCTGGAAGGAATTACTATTTCCACCAACCAACCCATTTGTTGAATTGGATGATGAAGAATTTTATGATAGCTGGAATGGTGAGGCATTACTTAATTTCAAATGGAATACTTTTGGAAAATATTACTATCGTTTTAAGTGGGGAGTTTTTATCATGCTTTTGCTCTCTTTTGGAGTAGCTTCAACCTTGTACACATCTGATACAACAGAAATTTTTTTAAGTATTAGCATTGTTCTTTGTTCATTTCATATTTTTCATGAACTTAGACAATTTTTTTGGAATTGGAAAGATTATATTACACACCTATGGAATTGGTTAGGTATGTGTAAATTGACTTCTACATGATTTAATTAATCATCAAGAAAAGATTTTACTATTTTTTTTTTTTTTCCTCCAGACCTTGCCGCATTTATTTTCCCATTATATACCGCCATCTTTTGGTTAAGTCATGAAAAACCTCAATTATGGTTGATTTCTATATCAAATCTATTTTTACATTTCAAATTTATCACATTTTTTCGAGCACTTGATTACTTTGGCTCTAATTTTACTATTATCGTTGGTGTGGCTAAGAGGATATTTTCCTTCTTATTGATCTTATTTTTTATTTTAATTGGCTTTGCACATGCTTTTTATATTATATTGAATCCAAATGGGACATATGATATGAATAATCCTGTAATGAACGATGATCCAAATAACCCCTGGAATCTTGTAGATAAATATCAAGCAGTTTCTCCTGACAAGACAATTAGTTCTGAAGTAGCTTATATTAAGCAACCTGATTCAAATGTAAATCAGTTTGCTACTTATAAAACTTCACTCTTGGCTATGTACTTGTTTTTAACGGGAGATCCTTCGGCACTTGGCTCATGGACATATTTGGAAAATCCATTCATGACATTGCTGTTAATTGTGTTTTCGTTCGTGATTGTGGTTTATCTTATGAATTTATTTATTGGTTTGCTTAACTTAGAAATTGAAGGAAATAGAACACATTTCCTGTTTATCCTTGAGAAAAAAAAAATATTGGCTGAAATTGAGATTTTTCTACTGCTTCCAAATCAACGAAGGTGGCAACATTGGTTTCCGAATTTGATGTAAGTTATTTTATAAATGTTTGCACGTCTGCAATAAAAGGAATATCATCAACTTTTTTTTGTCATATAGATTCTATGAGATACCTATTGAAGAGGTTAGACGAAAGATTAAAGAAATAGATAATTCATTATCGGATGACAAATCACATATTTCTGATAAATTAAGAAAGTTGGTTGTAATTGAGAAAGATTTTGAAACAAAGTCTGAATGTAAAATCTTAGTGAAGAGTAGTGATGATTTATTTAAGAAGTTTGAAACATTAGAAGACAGCATTAAAAGCATTAAAAAACTTTTAGAAAAAAATTATACGGCAATTGATATTATTAACGAATAAATATTTATTTATTAAGCTTAATTTAAATTTTGTTAGTTCTGGAAATAAGTTTATTATAATTTCTCATCAATAAAATTAAATCATTGTATTCTTATTATTTTTGGACTTGACCTATTTTCCGAAATTTGTCATTACATAGTATTAGTCGATGTTGCTGAATATTAAATTATTCGCGAAATGTTGTTTTTACTATTATTTACAACTTTTATTTTCTTTTTAGGCAACTTCGGGTTGTCGTTAGAAAATAGGTATTGCATTTTGTTTTTTTACTATTCGTGAATTTTTTTTGGCTCTGAAGTAAGCGATGTGTTTTATTTCGTTTAAATCTTCGGGTTCTTTATAAATGTAACACAACTTTTAATGGATTTTTTTTCTTTTTATATATATTTTTTTTTCACTAATTTTTATTTCATTTTATCCCGTAATATTTACCATTAGCGTTAGAAGTATGCAATGGCGGTGTACATACCCAAGTTAATTAGAAATTTTATTTTTACCATTTATTTCGCTTCGTTTTTCCCTGATTAAATAGTATTTATTTTTTTAATGAAAAGAGATGATGATGAATGCCAGGTTTGAAGAAAACAAGTTGTTGCCGATGAAATGAATATTATGTTCATCACACTTAATTTGTCAATTGTTTAGCGCTATATTCAATATCATTACATTATGTATGTAATGCAATTCTACTCATTATTTTATTACAGTGTTGTCATGACTGGACAATGGACAATGGACAACACTGGACAAAAAATGCTGTCCATTGTTCATTGATTAAGC